TCCTCTTTTAAATACACTTCTGCACACTGCTAAATAATTACATTTTATTAAAAAGAAAACATTTAGTAACAGATGGGTAGGAGGATAATAGTTTGAAGAGCACTGCATCAGATGATCTCTAGGATTTATTTTTGTTTTAAAGTCCTGTGACAAAGGATAAATCAATCGGGTTTGTTAGAATAATGATGATGGAATTTAGTTCATAAGACTGGTCTGCAAGGAAAGGACATTTGGAGTCTTCATTTTGAAGTCTACGTGGTGATTTAAATTTGAGATAAGAAAAGCCATTTTTCTTCTGAAAGACAAACAGAAAAAATATAATACTAGAAATAACTGTTCTGTCTCAAACTATTGATGAAATAGAAGGATGACTTATTCTTTAATCAGGATACATCAACAATGACCATAGGTGGGAGAAAATGACTAAAGCAAGAAGAGTGAAGCTTGTAAATGAGTAAGGTCTGGTTCATGAGAAAGGGTGAGAATGTACATAATAATTAGAAGAATGGCTACAAGAGAATTCTAAAGGGCAAATCCAAATCTTCTCTTTTCTCCACAAACAAGAAGCAAAATACAAAGCATTAACACTTCTTAGAGATGACATGGAGGGGCAGTAGGTCTCAATAAGGACACCTGGGGGTAGAACAGGTTTTGCCAATAGCTAATGACATGACCTTTAGGAAGTCATGTATTAGGTCTGGGTACCCTTTAGTCTGCCATAAAATTAGCCAATTGGACGAAGGTGATGTCTAATGGCCCATTTTGCGGCAATACTTTTATGATTCTCTGTTATTCCAACCTGGTGTAAAAATACAATGTTTTGATAGGCATATTCTCTTACAATTTTTGTACTAGGTTAATATTTACATAGATTTCAATGCACAGTGAAAAATTTCTCTTAGCAACTCAATTCACCCTGTCAAACATTGCATGAACTTTATCCTTAATAGTCTTAAGGATACCTACCCTGCATTGTCTCACCTCCATCACCATGAATTCAAACTCATGATATGCCCCTACTTCCCTATTTTCTTTAATGCTAACACTTACTTGGTCATTTAAAACCTGAAAACTTTTACTCTTATCTTCTATTTGCAATTAGTGAATAAATCCTCTGAATTTTCCCTATCAAATCTTTCTTTTTCAATCTTACCTCTAACATCATAATCCATGTTCTCAACTTCAATCCTAAATCACTTAAACCACTTCCTCCATCTCCATACCCACCTAAACTTGTCAAAATAATATTGCTAATGACCTGAATGCATCTCTTTAAAGACTCACCTGCTTCCACTGCTTCTCAGTATTTGTATGATGGCATGTAATCATCATTAGCCTGGCCTAAGAGCTTTACAAAATTTGGCCTCACCTGCTTTTCTATCTTCTCTCCCACCACCTGTCATCCCTATACAAGGTAGCCTCCCTTTGCCTACCCCCCTCGCCCTTTGCCTTGCCCACTTGCCCTCAACGCCAACATCCTTATTTCTCTCCATCTCATGCTGTTTTTCTTCCACTTCTCCACTAGGGTATCATTCCCTGTTTTTTTGTTGTTGTTGTTATTGCTTTTATGGCTGACAGTGTAAAGACTATGGAACCATAACATATAAAAATTAACTTTAATTAGAACTTTTTCTTTGGGGGTTTTCTTTCAGCGTTATTGAGGTATAATTGACCAATAAAGCTGTAAGATATTTAAAGTGCACAATGTGATGATTTGCTCTCCATAGAAATCATGAAAGGATTCCCCCCATCAAGTTAATGAACATCATCACCTCACATTTTTACCATTCTTTGTGTGTGTGAGAACACTTCCACTCTTAGCAAATTTCAATTGCACAACTGAAATTTACAAATTTCAATTACACAACTGAAATTTAGTTATCAACTAACTAGTTGATATAGTTAGCAACTATAGACACCATGCCATACATTTGATTCTCAGACGTTATGCATCTTTTTTTTTTTAAGATTTTATTTATTTATTTGACAGAGAGAGATCACAAGTAGGCAAAGAGGCAGGCAGAGAGAGAGAGAGGAAAGGAAGCAGGCTCCCTGCTGAGCAGAGAGCCTGATATGGGACTCGATCCCAGGACCCTGAGATCATGATCTGAGCTGAAGGCAGAGGCTTTAACCCACTGAGCCACCGAGGTGCCCAGACCTTAGGCATCTTATAACTGGAAGTCTGTACTCTTCTGCCAACTATCCAATTTCTTCCTAGCCATCAAGATCCAGGCCACCATCTGCCATCTTCCTTTGCATCCCTTGAGAAGTCCTTCTCTAACTCTAGATGGACATTGCTATTCCTTGAACTTCCAAAGTTCTTATCTGTATCACTTTCTTTGATATATGTGTACATATTTACAGATGGTATATGACTTAGCGGTATAAGATCCTCTGATTCTGTTTGAATCATTCTGTGAAAACTTTTTACACCTCTAGGTCTTTGTGGCATTCTCCTCTACCTATTTTTCACCATATGACTTTATGGTGTATTAGCATTTTTTTTTTTAGGTTTTTAATCAAAATTAATCTCTCATGAGGTCTTTCTTGACTACTTTATTTTTATTTATTTATTTTTTGGACTACTTTATTTTTAATTACTACCTCACCACACTTCCAATTTTCTTTTTCTGTCTTAAATTTTTTATGCTTAGCACTTCTTGGTATTTAATGCACTATACATTTTTATTTCTTTATCTTCTTTATACCTGTCTGTCACTCTAGATTTTAAGCTAAACAAGTACAGAAACCTTTTTGCTTAGTAATGTACTCTGGTTCCTAAAGAGTACCTGGTACTTAATATGCACTCAAGAAATAATCTTTGGTTGAATTTATTGTTTAAAAACTCAAAGCAACATTAATAATGGTAAAAATCATAATAATAAACAAATTCTAATAAAGATTTAGAATTCAGTTGTGCCAGGCCCTGTACATATTATCCATACATGTACATATATACCCATATATGTATATAATCCCATTATTGTTACTTATGACCCATTTTCCTCCTTGCCAAATAAAACAAGGCTTGAAGAGGTTAAATAATTTCACCACGAACACAAAGATAATAAATATTATTAAAAACAAGTCCTAGGTTTATTTATCACTGAAAATATCTCCGAAGTTTAGCTTATCCATCTGTAAAAAGTTAAACACAAGATAACATTCTTTTTTGGATATGAGGGAAGAACTCCTCTGGGAGTTACTTGTGAAATCATTCTTTCGGTCTCTCTCTCACAAATAGTTAATACTCTAATTTCTTCTTTCCTTGTTAGTAATTTCTCTTACATTTTCCCTAGACTTTGCACTTCTTTCCTTACCTACACTTCATCTCTAAGAAGAGAAAAATTCTGACTAATGTTATTGTAAAAATTCCATCTTCAAAATGCATCTCAGTTCTCATATAAAGGTCAAGTACAGAATGAGTAGCCACAGTCCTCACAGCAGGAGGTAAAGCATCCATTACGGGAGGAGGGAAAAAGCAAAGAATGCTTTATTCATAATTACCTAAGATTTTCCAGCATGAGAGGGGAAAGAGGAAGTCTATTTTCAGTGACAATGAATACTCTAAAAATATTAGCATGCAAGGGGAAAATTTTCATTCTGAGAGTTAGTAGTGCTGAGTTCTCTTTCCCTTACAGAGTGACTTAAAATTCCCAGGGTAGAGAGGTAATCTAGGCAGATGTTAGTTGCCTTATGTCTCGAAAATGGCAACATCTAGGAATCATGGGAGTTTAACTGAGGACACACTGGGAAGGATTTCTCAGGAGCAGGTCAGTCCCTAAGAAGTATCAAGTGGCAGAGTGGATACTTATATCCTCAGGCATCTAGAATGAGGGCAGAGATTACAGCTACATAGACCTTTTAGAAGATCTGTTATGCTGAATGTATAAACAAGATTCAGTGAAGTTGAAGCTGAACTACCTGCTAAAAGAGTTACAGAAGAAAAAAAATAAAAAGACTTCTTCTCTTTTTTAATCTAACCTCCATTTTTTTTCCAACAATGCCCCCATAATTTTAATTGACTTGAAGTACAGGCAAAAGTATACAGAGAATTCATTCTGGTGTCCATCTTGAATATTTTGGAAAACACTATCAGTTATCAGTTCCCCATTTCTGTTCATCTATATAAATGTTAATGGTCTGATAAATAACCCTTAGGTTGGGACACTCATTAGTCTGTCAGTGAAGAGCATTTAGAACAAACTGATCTTTATTAACGTCAACTGTAGATGAAAAAAGTACTTGGTATCTCCCTGTTAGTACCTTATATTTTCAGAAAAAATCATGTGAAAAAATTACATAGGGTTTCCTGAAATCTGTCATTGT